TTTAGTGAAAATGAATATTAACGTCAAGTCGAAAGTTATGATTCTTACGTTTTATAGATTTACACAAGATTCGATTGGAAATTCTAGCCTACGACGATACTTTTTTTTTTCTATCCTTTAAAAAAAAGTATGTATCGCAACATATTTAAATTAACGTTTGCGTCTTCGACAACGAGAAATTAGAAACGTTCCACTATTCATAAGTATTCCGTCCGTTTTCACACGAAATAAAATAAATTTTGTAAACTATATTATACAAAACGATTATTATTATAAAATAAAGAAAAACTCTTTCCCTGTGAATATACTCCCGATCGATGTTAGATTTTCACGCTTGCGAAACAAATTCGCATGGCCGAAGTTCCGTTTCGGCTGCCTCGTTTTTCCCGCAAACTTTGCCAATCCTTCACGAGCCCCTTTTGCGCGAGAACGGTTTTTCACGGAACGGGGTACCTATGAACAGCTGCGCCAGGGCAAGTATTAATCAATCGTTCGTCCGACTCGACGAATTTCCACCAGTTTGTTTAACTTAGCGCACACTAATTCGTACACACCGCCACTGGGTGGTCCCCTCATTTCACGTAATACACGCGAGGGCTGTGTATTTCGCGAGCGATTTATTTTCCTTCCGGCTGCCTTTTCTCTCATTCGCTAGGCAGCCGTTCCGGTAGTTTTACCTAGAACAACGAAACACATCATATATTAATCACATCAGACAGACTTACGCTGGTGATTTGAAGCAACGTTTGTTCTCGAACTGTGAACGACTTTTGTTTTCGAGCTGTTTAAAAAAGCGACCGATTTTCTTTGATTAAAAGATTATTTGTAACAATAATAATAATAATAAATGTATATATATATATAAATGTGTATATGTGTATATATGTATTTGTAATAATAATAATAAATAACGCGATATATAATATATAATAATAACAGAATCGTAGCAGTATCAGAATGATTTATCTTAGAGTTGAAAATTGTGTAGCACTAAGAAGTAAAATTCAAGAACTTTGCCTCTTGAGGACAGCGAGTACGTTCAAATAATAAACAACATAAATGTCAAACATTACGAATTTCGCCCCGTCATTTATCATTTTGAATTTCCTAGCGGTTCGATGAGAGTCCACCAATTGAACAGAGAGTCATCACGTTCAATCGAAAGGTCTGGCGATCTATCGATCGCCGTCGAACTAATATCGCGCAAAGCTGTGTATCCGATGTACGTTTGCACGCTCTCTCGTTCGGACAGAGATATATAGCCGAGCTAATGAGTCTCTCTATTCCCAAAGAGAATTGTCGCCGTGGCGATGAACGTTAATATACCACGATTCGCCACCGATTCCGTTAAAATCCAGCGATCGCCATCCGTGTGAGCCGCGTTTCGATTTATGCATGTACATCGATTTCGAGCCGAACTATCGTTTCGTCGATCCTCGGGTTCGATCGGCGTGCGAACGCGATTCCTTCCCATTCAACCACCGGTTCGTTCGACGCCGCGATAGAATGGATCTTAAGGGAGAGAAGCGTGACTCGTTAATATCCTTATTCAAGCCGTGCACCGTGATTATGTCGGTCCGTCGATATTCTTGCATGACCTAATTTCCGTCCCACAACCATCCCCTTCTGTCTACCACGCCTCGATCTATCGTCCATCACCCTCAGGCCAGCCGCCAAGAACGGTTTACATATTTATTGTATACGAATAATCATTCCGTGTGTGTCGTTGTTTTCCTGTATTGCCCGAGCGCTTTTATTAGCTGCATACATATGTATATACGTGTGCTTACATATAGATATATGCTATTCGGTAGAACGAGCCAGCTTTAGGGAAATACACTCCCCCTCATTCCTCGAATTATCCCGTGGTACTCCCGTCTACTCCCCTCTCCCACTCCTTTATAGAGATTTGCCCCGAAGTTTTCAATACACCTGCTACCAAGCTATTGTTAGTACAACACCATCCAAGAGGGAGGGATTATTGTAACGACAGACATCGTCGTTCCATTTCCCTCCATCAATCTTGACTCTCTACAGTCACCGATGACCGGTGCACGAGGCACCGCGTTCGTATTTTTGCAGCGGATGCACGACAAACGGGCACAATGTGAAATTTAGAACGAGCGCGAACGTGGTAATCAATGAGGTAAGTCGGGATACGCGTATCTCATTGGTTATTCCGCGACAAGACGCGCATGACAGTTTCCTCCTCCGTGTCGTATCTCCGTCGTGCGCGTAATTTTCGTCCCTCGTCTCCTCAACGAGCCCTCTGTCCTCTGTCCTGCTTCTGTCCCTTACCTCGCTGCCCATCGCACATCGCAGCTGCCCCTTTTTTTCCTTTTCCACCCGGTTTCCACTCTGGTTTCTCTTCGTTGGTCCTTCTTCACAAAAGTGCATTATTACACGGCGATGAAAAGGGAATAACGGTTACGCTCTCCGTTATTTCTTCATTAATCCTACTCTCCTGGTGACCATTGTGGTTTGAACTAGAGCTGGTACTTGGATACTGAGATATACTCAGATAGAGTAAAATTACTCCCATTATAAAGCAACATTATCTAATGAGCTATCCGAACATACTTGATGCAATTTCATTCGATGTTTCGAGTATTATATATATTTTTGTGAGCAAGTAATAAAGGAAATTGTAATTTAATTTTTGTACACCAGAATGATGGAGAGCCTGGGAAAAAGAATATCCAAGATTAGTAAAACTTCTGAAAAAATATTTATGTAAAGCAGCTCTGTCTGCTCTGAAAGAGTATTTTCCACAACTGGAAGTATTATTATTTCAGACAGTAAAAGCCTACTGTTGTTGTTGGTATTTTATTAAAAATTATTATTATTAACTAAAATACTAGAGTTGTTAGTATTTTTATAAAAATTATTATTAACTAAAATACTAGAGATGTTAGTATTTTTATAAAAATTATTACTAACTAAAATACTAGAGATGTTAGTATTTTTATAAAAATTATTACTAACTAAAATACTAGAGTTGTTAGTATTTTTACAAAAATTATTATTAACTAAAATACTACAGATGTTAGTATTTCTATAAAAATTATTATTAACTAAAATACTAGAGTTGTTAGTATTTTTATAAAAATTATTATTATTAACTAAAATACTAGAGTTGTCAGTATTTTTATAAAAATTATTATTATTAACTAAAATACTAACAACTAGAGTTAG